TGTATCATACAAACAAAAGAACATGCCTAATAAATGCCTACTCTTTAAACCAGGAATACTCCGTAACTCTTGAGTGTCTATCTTGCAGCTTAAGTAATAGACATCGTTAAAACTTTTGAAGCCCTAAGTTCCTCCTTTAAACTCTGGATTTTACATTCATCATCTCCTTTCTTCATGGTTTTACCATATATACNTGCCTACTCTTTAAACCAGGAATACTCCGTAACTCTTGAGTGTCTATCTTGCAGCTTAAGTAATAGACATCGTTAAAACTTTTGAAGCCCTAAGTTCCTCCTTTAAACTCTGGATTTTACATTCATCATCTCCTTTCTTCATGGTTTTACCATATATACGCATATGATTTTCCAGAGTGTGTATGTATATACACATATAGGTTTGTCAACCCAGCATCTTCTTTGTCAATTTAATGTTTGTTTTATAATGGAATAGAGTTGATTTACAATGTTGTGTTAGTTTTAGGTGTACAGTAAAATGATTCTGTTATACATATATACACATATATCCATTTTTTAGATTCTTCTCCCATAGAGGTTGTTCCAGAGTATTGACTAGAGGCCCCCCCTGTTATACAGTAGGTCTTTGTCGATCAACTATTTTATTCAATATGTATAGTAGTATGTAAATATTAACTTCAAACTCCTAGTTTATCCTCCCCTCAGAGCATTCATATATTTTTAGCAGTCCCCAAGATCACTTTATTTTCATTTTTTCCAGGTATTTTTAGATATAACTGATGTATGGCATCAATCTCACCGTGTGTACACCATGTCTTCCTCATCTCTTCATCTGCTGTTAGACATTTCGGTTTGTTTCCATATCTCGGTTATTGCAGTGAACGTGGGTGTGTGGATATTCTTCGAGATCCTGTTTTCACTTCCTTTTGATACGCACCTCGATGTGGGATGACCAGGTGATATGGTCATTCTTCTCTTCAGGTTTGCAGGAGCCTCCATGCTATTTTCCTTAGTGGTAGCGATGCATAGCCGTTCCCTCTCCTCCACCTTCTTGCCAGCACTTGTCAACTGTAGTCGTCTTGGTGACTGCCATTCTACAGGCGTGAAGCGATTTGCATTTCCTTGATGGTTAGAGATGTTGACTATCTTTTCATGGACCTGTTGGCCATGAAATAGACACTTTGGAAAACTGTCTACTCAATTTCTCTGCAGTTTTTCTTTTTGGCCGCACCTCTTGGCTTGTGGGATCTTAGCTCCCCAACCAGAAATTGAACCCATGCCCTGGGCAGTGAACGTGTGCAGTGCTCATCACTGGGCTGCAGAGACGAATTCCTCACTGCAGTTTTTAAATTGGATTTTTTTTTTCATGTTGAGTTGTATGATTTCTTTATATATTTGAGATATTAACCCCTTATCCCGAAGTGTGGTTTGCAAATTTTTTCTCCCATTCTGTAAGTTTCCTTTTCGTTTTTGTTGATTGCTTCTTTTACTGTGCATAAGCTTTAAAATCTGATGCAGTCCCACTTATTAATTTTTTATTTTATTATGCTTTAGGTGTTATATTAAAAAAATCATTGCTAAGACCAATGTCACAGAGCTTTTCCCCTACATTTAATTTCTGTGTATTCTTGGACATTTTTCCTAGACTCTTTACCCTGTTTTATTTGTCTAATTGTTTGACTCTGGAAACAGATACAGCGCTATTACAGCTTTATGAAAAGTATTTTATTATGCTTTAGGTGTTATATTAAAAAAATCATTGCTAAGACCAATGTCACAGAGCTTTTCCCCTACATTTAATTTCTGTGTATTCTTGGACATTTTTCCTAGACTCTTTACCCTGTTTTATTTGTCTAATTGTTTGACTCTGGAAACAGATACAGCGCTGTTACAGCTTTATGAAAAGTCTTACCTGATAGGACATCACTGCACATTGTTGTCTGACATTGGGAGTCTTTGCAAATATTTGCCGTTCCCTCTTCCATATAAATTGTACAATTAATCAAACTTAAAAGGAAGAATAAACTATGTCGAGAAAAGAACCCACAAGATCATTTCAATTGAAGCAGAAAAAATATTTGATAAAATTTAACACCTTTTCATCATAAAAACCACTCAAGAAACTAGAAATAAAAAGAGAAACTACAATATATAGCAACCCTGCTAAAACCTGACTCACTCCTTCTAGCCTTCTGTGTAGATAGTCAAATCACCAATAATTATTTAGAATTTTGTTTCTTCGTTTCCAGTTCTCATTTCTTTTGTTTCTCTTTCTTGTTTATTCCATAAGCCAATGAAAGCCTTGAGTCGAAGTCATCTTTATGAACATCCTGGTCTTTCTCCCGCTTTTAAAGGGAAGCCTTTTCACGATTTGCCTTTTTTTCCTTTGGTCATGCCCTGAGGCTTGTGGGACTTCCCTCATGCCTCAGCTGGTAAAGAATCCGCCTGCAATGTGGGAGACCTGGGTTTGATCCCTGGGTTGGGAAGATCCCCTGGAGGAGGAAACGGCCATCCACTCCAGTATTCTGGCCTGGAGAACTCCACGGACTGTATAGTCCATGGGGTCACTAAGAGTCGGACATGACTGAGTGACTTTCACTTTTGGCATTGAAAGCATGGACCTACTGGATCCCCAGGGAAGTCCCTACCACTGGTTTTAATGTTTGCAGAATGTTTCCTTACAAATATCTTTCCATTCCTGGCTTATCATGAAAAGTACTGGATTTTTATATGATGCTTTGCATGTTGTTGTTTAGTCATCCAATCGTGTCCAACTCTTTATGACTCCATGGACTGCAGTACAGCTCTTTGCATCAGGTGGCCAAAGTATTAGAGTTTCAGCTTCAGCATCAGTCCTACCAATGAACACCCAGGACTGATCGTCTTTAGGATGAACTGGTTGGATCTCCTTGCAGTTCAAGGGACCCTCAAGAGTCTTCTCTAACACCACAGTTCAAAAGCATCAATTTTTCAGTATTCAGCTTTCCTCACAGTCCAACTCTCACATCCATACACGACCACTGGAAAAACCATAGTCTTGACTAGACGGACCTTTGTTGACAAAGTAATGTCTCTGCTTTTTAATATGCTGTCTAGGTTGGTCATAACTTTCCTTCCAAGGAGTACGTGTCTTTTAATTTCATGGCTGTAGTCACCTTCTGCAGTGATTTTGGAGCCCAGAAAAATATAGTCAGCCACTGTTTCCACTGTTTCTCCATCTATTTGCCATGAAGTGATGGGACCNGTTTTCTCCAACACTACAGTTCAAAAGCATCAATTCCTCAGTGCTCAGCTTTCTTTATAGTCCAACTCTCACATCCATATATGACTACTGGAAAAACCAAAGATTTGACTAGATGGAACTTTGTTGGCAAAGTAATATCTCTGCTTTTTAATACACTGTCTAGGTTGGTCATAACTTTTCTTCCAAGTAGCAAGTATCTTTTAATTTCATGGCTGCAATCACCATCTGCAGTGATTTTGGAGCCCCCCAAAATAAAGTCTCTCACTGTTTCCATTGTTTCCCCATCTATTTGCCATGAAATGATGGGACCACATGCCATGATCTTAGTTTTCTGAATGTTGAGTTTGAAGCCAACTTTTTCCACTCTCCTCTTTCAGTTCCATCAAGAGGCTCTTTAGTTCTTCTTCCCTTTCTGCCATTAAGTGTGGTGTCATCTGCATATCTGAGGGAACTCCCTAAATTTTTTATACTAGCAACAGACTTGCTCCACCTTCCCAGAGAAGTGAAGATGGTGGGGCAGTAAACTGGCCTGATTCTGAGAAAACCTGTGGGAAACTCATAGTCCACACCTTTCCCTACTTCCCATCCACCCCTTCCTTGGTGCCCATAGCGCCCTGATCCGTGAGTACGGCCCTCTTACTCCTCCCAGCCCTTCTGGATGTGTGCTGAACCACCAAAACACAGGGCTTCCAGGGACAGCTCCCCCCTCCAGTCTGGCTCTGGACTCCTGGGAAGAAACACCCTCACCTGCCTCCCAGAGCTGCTCTTGAAGAGTTTTACTCCTGGGTTATATATATATATTGTGATCTGAATTAAATGCAGTCTGGTTAAGATTAGAATCTGTCCTATTATTAGTGAGGAAACCCAATCCACTGGCTTCTTCTCAGCCCTCTGTCCTGGGCTTTTCTCTTTTTTGGCTACACCCTGTGGCATGCAGGTCCTTAGTTTCCGGGGCAGGGATGGAACCCAAGCCCCCTGCAGTGGGAGCACAGAGTCTTAACCCCTGGACCGCCAGGGAAGCCCCTATCCTGGGCTTATTTGAATCCTACTCTTCTTCTAGTGTCTGGAGTCTTGCCCAGGGTATTAATAAGGAGACACTGTGCTAACCACATCCCAGAACTCTGTTTTTGGAACTTCTCGTACATTTCCTCATTAAATTCTCATAAGAGCTCTTATTAGTCCATTTTACAGATATAAATACCGAGGCTCAGAAAGATTAAGTAAGTTGTCCACAGTTATACGGCTCGTATGTGGTGCTCATGGGGTTAGAGCCTGGGTTTGTCTCATTTCATAGCCGGCACATTTACGCGCTTGGCTGTAACACCTGGACGGATGCATCAGCAGGTGTGCCCAGCACGGACACCTGGCCTGCGAGTTGCAGAGTTTTCTGCTGCTGGGACCCACTGCTGTCATGGAGAATCATTTCTGGAGTTGACAGCCACCCAAGGCCTGGTCGGTCAGAAACCCGCTCCTCTGACCCTTCTGCAGACACGGGCCCCCTTTCTCCCCGGCACAGCTCCCTAGCTTCCTCTTTCTGACCTAGTGCAGGTCTCGTACCCTGTGACCCAGCCTGCCAAGAAACAGCACTGCTTATGCTAAATAATTAAAAGCAGGAAACACTCACTCCATAAAAGGAAGCGAATGAGTAAGAAATGTAAAGGCGGTCTGGACGGGCGGAGGGCACCAGCCTGCCTGTGCTCAGAGCCCTGAGAGTCAGCTGGCGCCTGGACGTGCTTCCCTGTTTCTAAGTCGGCGGGGAGAGGAAGCCCGGAGGCAGGACCATGTGGCTGCCCCCAGCTCTGCTGCTTCTCAGCATCCCAGGTGAGCAGGCTGGGGCACTGCACAGGGCGAGGGGGTGGAGGGTCTGTCCCAGATATGTGTGTGCTAAGTCGCTAAGTCGTGTCCAGCTTTTTGCTACCCCATGGACTATCCCACCAGGCTCCTCTGTCCATGGGATTCTGCAGGCAAGAATACTGGAGTGGGTTGCCATGCCCTCCTCCAGAGGACCTTCCCAACCCAGGATTCGAATCCACATCTCTTGCATCTCCTGCCTTGGCAGGTGGGTTGTTTACCACTGTGCCACCTGAGAAGCCCTTGTCCCAGGTACAAGGAAGAATATCTTGGGGAAATGAGAGATGACTGTTAATTCATCCGACAAAAGCTCACTGGGTTCCTCTTTGTACCAGACAGGCATCTGGCTCTGAGGAAGGGAAAAGAGAAATAGGACCGACCTTTAGAAAGAGGAGCTGGGAGTTCCCTGGTAGCCCAGCGGTGAGGACTCAGCAATGTCACTGCTGAGAGCCTGGGTTCAATCCCCAGTCAGAGAACTAAGTTCCCTCGAGCCTAACAGAACAGGCTCGCGGCAGCCGTCCTTGAGATGAGCCTGGGAGAATGTGAGGATCAGCTCTCCACGTGGAGAAGAGGGACCAGTGCTCCTCGGAGAGGGACCGCATGCCAAGGGTTGGAGGCTTGAGAAAGGATGCTGGGTTCATCAGAGGGAGCTCTGAATTCTCAGAGAGCCTCGGGGTGTCTTGTTGGAACTGAGGCTGGGAGCGCCACAGATAGGACTCTGAAGGGCCTGGGATACCCTGCCCAGGAACTGAGGCTTTCAAAGAGGGAACTGCTGGGTGACGGGAGGGGCTTCTCTTCTATGGAAAACCACTGCCCTAGCATCCAGGAAACAGTGTGGAAGCTTGCACAATGTAGGCAGTAGGTGCGGGTCACACAGTCCTCTCTCTCCAGGCCTGGGGACTGACCCTGTGACACTCACAGACCACTCCATAGAGGGGCCGCAGGAAAGAGCATGGCCAAGGGGTCCGGAGAGATGAGTCCCAGTCCCTTGTTGGATTTCCGGGGGGATGGGAGTCCTTGGCCCTTTGCAGCTCTAGGGGTGTAGGTCTCTACCATTCAGATGGGCGTCCCTGAATTCTCACTGCCGCTGTTGATGGTACTGATGCTGAAGAAGCCTTCTGCTGGTACCGGTGGATGGGTTGTGGGACTAGCTTGTCTGTGATGGCCGTGTTCACTAACAGCGACCCCAGGTGACCCAGACCCCCAAAGGATGGCCACTCAGAATGTCTGCATCTCCCCCTGGGCTCCAGTTTTCCATCTGAGTTCCAAGACCACCCCTCCATCTCCTCCCTCTCTTAACCTCAACGTCCAGCCACCGGTAGGCCAAGGAGAAGGGCATGGGTGGACTGTGTTGGGATCACATGCTCTTAGACACATGTACACAATACACTCACCCAATGGAGTTGAACATACATACCTATGGAATCACATGCCAGTTCATGTCTATATTCTCACACTCTCATAATACACACATACTCATATAGACACACAGACACACATATATATTCACTCACAGGGACACAGAATAACCACACACTTGCACAGCCACACACACACTCACACAGGCAGATCGGTGGCTTGGGGGGAGGGTTGGCCTTGAGAGAGTGGATGGGTCCCTCCTCTTCCAATTCTGAATGAACTTGGGCATGAAGTTAGTCAAGGATGAAAAAAAGAAGGCAGCCGGTCAAGTTTTCACCTCTGGACACCATCAGCCGCCCTGGGTTTCCTCTGTGAAAGGCAGGAGAGAGGTGGACATGGTGAAGTCACAACGACCCAGCTTCTGGTTGGACATTCATCTGCTTGGTTACCAGACCCCCAACAACCCCAAGAATGGAAGAAGAGATCCCTGTTCCCCAAAGAGCAAAGTGTTGCAAGAATAACCAGGGGCCCAGATCTGCACCCTAGAAACTGTTTCTCTTAGCTTGGGCTGCCATGATGTCTGGGGAACACCAGCCCAGACCCCCGGCCCTATAAGTGCAAACTAAGACAGGATCAAACCCCACTGCACAACACACGTTCCCCGGGACCTCTGCTCTGAGACCCCCTTGGGTGAATTTGCCTCATTTTTATGAGTCATTTGTTACTCGCTATCAGCCTAGATGTGGATATTAACCATGCTCTCGATTTTGAGACAAGACCATTCACCCAAGAATTTTGCACAGAGGGCAAACTTCCCTGAATCATTGACATGAAAAAGAAAGTTTATATCAAATTCATGAAAGCAAAAAAAAAAAAAATTGAAATTCAAACAGCCAGTCTCCTCTTCCATGAAGTTCTCCAGGCAAGAATACTGGATTGGGTAGCCATTCCCTTCTCCTGGGGATCTTCTTGATAGACGCACGGATCAAACCTGGGTCCCCCGCATTGCAGGCGGATTATTTACCATCTGAACCATCAGGGAAGCCCCAAACAGGCTTAGGCTTTTAAAACCCATCAGTTATGTTTCCCAGAGTTCTGCTCCCAGGTCAGCAGTGTCGTATCATTTTTCTCTCTTCCTTCAGACCAATTCTTGGGGCAATTCCCTGGTGGTTCGGTAGTTGGGACTTCTCGCTTTCACTGCTGGGACCCCGGGGTTCAATCCCTGGTCAGGAACTAAGATCCTGCAAACTGCAGTGGTACGGCCAAAAAGCAAAAGCTAAAAACAACAACGACAAAATTCTCTTGAAAATACATAGGTCTAATGAACAGTTTATCATCCATCATAATATCTGTTTATAAAAAACCCCCATGTATTTTTAAAAGCCAAGCCCCATCACATTATGAGTGCTTGACCATTCTGTTAAATTACCAAGGCTGGGGTGGATGGCATTTCTGTTTCCAAGTATCCACATCTGTTTTCTGCTGTTTATGATCACTGGCAGATAGAATATGTTTTGATTGTACTTTTGCTTCCTACTATAGCTTATTTATTTTTAAGGGGCAAAAACATGACTCTTTCTCCTGACTCTTACATTAGATTTTAATTTACATCAATTTCTGTCTTTTTAGCAATTCTTCTAATTGACTCCTTTTTAATGAAAAAAGCTGTTGTTTCATCAGTTAATCATATTTTTGAAGATTTTGACAAAATAGAAATGTGTGAGTTAGAAAGTGAAATTTCCCCTCAAAATCCTCAAACTCAACCCTAACCACTTATTTTCCCCTACGCATGTGCTATCGAAAAACTAAGGAAGAGAAATCATACACAGTCAGGCAACTTGTTTTAACCTAATGGTAATATGTCTGGGGCGTCTTTCCCATCATTATGATTTGTCTTTTCTCTTGACATGTATTTAGTTATTTGGTTGCACTTGGTATTAGCTGCAGCATGTGGGATCTAGTTCCCTGACCTAGGATCGAACCTGGGCCACCTGCATTGGGAGTGGGGAATCAGCCACTGGACCACCAGCAAAGTCCCTGTCTTTTTCTTCTAACCATGTGTCGGACAGATAACAATCTATTAGCCCAGTCTACCACTGGTGGCATTTGGATTTGTTTCCAGTGTTCCCTGTTTGGTTAGCAATGCAGCTAGCACCCTTACACTTCATTTCTCATTGGTGTGGAAACTATAATTGATCCTAGACTTGGATGATTCTGTCTGAGATCATAACAACTAGCTTCTTTTCAAAATTAATCATAAACTTCAAGGGTACCAACCAGGATTCAGACAGTGTGTAAGTCACAGGGGCTGGGGATGGGAAGAGAGAGAAGAAACAAAGGCAAGATCTCTGCTCCTTGGAACAGAGCATCCTAGCAAGGGAGGCAGAGAGGAAGACTGCTGAGGTTGATAAGACGCTAGTGCGGCATTCGGGTTCCTGCAAAGGGCTGTGGAGCAGTGGGGGGAAGGGGAGGAAGGCTGCAGAGAAGGCGGAACCTTGAAGGAGACCTGGAGAATGACCAGGAGACTGGCAGGGCTGGGAGCAGGGGTTTCTAGCTGGAAGGAAGGAGAAGGACAGTGACACAGCCGCTTGGGATGCAGCATCTGAGTCAGGGAAAGAGGAAAGTGGGGGTGGGCAGCGTGGGAGGCAGGGAGCCACAGGAAGTCACAGTGGACAGAGAACTGGATCAAGATCGTAAAAGACCTAACTACCAAACTAAGACATTTTTTAAAAACTTCATTTTGTATTGGAGCAGAGCAGGTTGACCGTGTGGTGACAGTTTCACGTGAACCGAGAAGGGACTCAGCCGTACACACAATGGATCCATTCTGCCCCAAACTCTCCTCCTTCCAGGCTGCCAGCAACATGGAGCAGAGTTCATTGTGCTGTACATTAGGTCTTCGCTTATCCATTTTAAGTAGAGCAAGCTCAGGCATCTAAATCATTCCAAGGCAGTGGGAAGCGGCTGCGGGAGAGGTCCTGAAAGATTTTAAGTGCTCGTGGCAAGTGTCATTGAGGACGATCTGGGGACAATTTTGGTACAAAACTCCCGTGGCGATGTGCAGGGGAGACAGGAGGAGGGGTGCAGTGGGGGCTGGGGAACCCCACCGCGTGCTGCTGCTGCGACCCAGGCAGCAGAGCAGGGGTGTGGCTGGGCTACCGCTGATGGGGCAACTCCTGAATGCTGAGGTTTGCACACATCCCCAAGAAGAACCTGCAAGGTGGAAAGCAGCTAGCCAGTTTGCAAATACAGAAGCAAGGCTCAGAGAGGAAGCAACTTAAAGTTTCCCAACGACTCTGTGGCCGACAGGTCTTTCTGTGTCCAGAGCTCAGGCTCTTTCTAGCATGTCAGGCTGTCTCCGTGAACCTTGATGGCAGAGGAGACAAGACAATCATCTGGACAAGCTCAGTCATTCAATCCTATCTGACTCTTTGTGACCCTATGAACTGTAGCCCACCAGGCTCATCTGTCCATGGGATTTTCCAGGCAAGACTACTGGACTGGGTTGCCAATTTCTTCTCCAGTGATCTTCCTGGCCCAGGAATCAAACCTGAGTCTCCTGCGTTGGCAGGCAGATTCTTTTCCACTGAGCCACCGGGGAAGCCCGCATTTTTGAGGGAGAGTTGTCTAGTTGGTTACCCGTTAGTTGTGGACGGGGAGGGAGAGAACAGGGCAGTGAGGATGCCAGGGTCTCCAGTTAGATGTGCTCGTGGCGGTGCTGGTTTGAGGAGAGTAGCATTAGTTCTGCTGGTTGAAATCCACACTCCTTTCTTATCATAACCGAAAGCAGGGTCAGGCTGCTCGCAGCTCAAAGGCCGTTAAAGACAGCAGGTTGGTGGGAAGTTTGCTTTAGCTGGATGCCAGCAACNAGTAGCATTAGTTCTGCTGGTTGAAATCCACACTCCTTTCTTATCATAACCGAAAGCAGGGTCAGGCTGCTCGCAGCTCAAAGGCCGTTAAAGACAGCAGGTTGGTGGGAAGTTTGCTTTAGCTGGATGCCAGCAACAGGGCGGGGTGGGTGCTGGGCACGGATGCCTGTCGAAAGGCTGACTCCCCTCCCACTGACAGTCAAGATGCCAGAGCTTTTACAGGCTGCGGGGGTGGGGGGCTCCAGGCAGAAACAGCACAATCAGCTCCTACAGTCATCCTGAAGTCGGTCATCAGCGGTCTGACCAGCGTCATCGTATTATTTTAAGTACAGTTAGTCTTCAGTTCCAGGGTGGGCTTGTTCCCATTTCCCTGAGGCCATTTCTTGGAATTGTGGTAGCTTATGTCACGGCTATAATCTGGTCATCTGTAATTCACTTTTCCACCTGGCGAGGGGCTCATCTCTGTAAGACTGCTCACAGAGCACGGCTCAGGATGCTATCATAGCCCTTGGGATGGAACTAAAGGTCTCTGACTACGCTTAAGGACGGCATCGCTATCATCTGGTCTCTTCTGACTGTTTTTCTTGGCTTCTGTGTGTTTTCACTTCTCTAATGAAACTTATTCATGGGTTACAGTTTTTCCACAGAAGAAAGGCAGGCAGAGGATATGGGGGCAGGCACCATAGGGTTCTGCTCCATTTCACTGTGGTTGCTGTAACACATTACCACGAGCCTCGGGGCTTGAAATGACACAAACTTATTTTCTTACAGTTCTGAAGGTCAGAAGTCCAAAGTGATCTTACTGGCTTACACTCGGGGGGTCAGCAAGGTGTCATTCCTCCTAGATGCCCTACAGAAGAACCTGTCTGCTTACCTTTCCCAGTTTCTAGAAGCCACCCACATTCCTTGGCTCGAGAGCCCTTTCTCTGCCTTCAAATCTCTGATGCTGATACTAACTCTCCTTCAGCTCTTTCACCTTTTTTCTTTTTTGACCACATGGCTTATGGGAATCTGTGTTCCCTGACCAGGGATTGAACCCAGGGCTGCAGTGGAAGCGTGGAGTCCTGACCGCTGGACCCCCCGGGAAGTCCCTTCTGCTTTCACTTTCAAGGACCCTTGTGATTACATTGGACCGAGCTGGATAACCCAGGATAAGCTTGCTGTCTTGAGAGCCTTATTTCAGTCACATCTGTGGAATTCTTGGGAATTAGGATCTGTGCTTAGTCGCTCAGTTGTATCTGACTCTTTGTGACCCCATGGACTGTAGCCCAACAGGTTCCTCTGTCCATGGGATGTTCCAGGCAAGATTATTGAAGTGGGTTGCCATTTCCTTCTCCAGGGGAATCTTCCTGGCCCAGGAATCGAACTCGCATCACTGATATCACCTGCACTGCAGGCAGATTCTTTGCCACAGAACCACAGGGGAAGCCCAAGATGTGAGCATGTTGGGAGGGAGTTATTCTGCTGCCATAAGTGCAAACCCCAAGTAACTAAAATAGTTTCAGGGAGAAGGTCTGAGGTGTGAGAGGTGACACCTGGTGCAACGGACCTGACTCCCTCCGTCTTGCACAGACCCCAGCCCTCGCCCTGGCCCTGGTGCTCTGGGGCCATGAGATGGTCAAGAGAGGCTTCCTGTGAGCTTCTCTTGGCGTATTGCCCCATGGTCAATGCATAAAAGGTCTTGGCCCAGGATAGAGTATCTGTGTATCTGAACACAGTGAGTTTAACCATTCAGTCCGCAGAAAAGCAGAATACCTAGTCCCACTCCCAGCAGACCCTTGCTGGTTCGTCCATGCCAACTCTCCACGAGAGAGAGGAAGTGTTGAAGGAGAATGAGTCTGGATGGAAGAAGTGATGTATTCAGTTCTGTGATGGTCGGAACGTCCCTGGTGGTCCAGGCACTGGGACTCTGTGCTTTCACTGCTGTGGTCCAGGTTCAGTCCCTGGTCAGGGAACTGAGATCCCCAAAGCTGTGCTACCCAGCTCCCCTCAAAAGCCTCATAGCTCTGTAACTATTGACTCTGGGGAAGAGACATCCAGTGTGTATTTGTAAGCGGTAGACTGGGGCCAGGGCTTCCTAGGTGGCACGAGTGATAGAGAATCTGCCTGCAATACAGGAGACCTAAGAGATGTAGCTTCCATCCTTGGGTTGGGATGATCCCCTGGAAGAGGGCATGGCAACCCACTCCAGTGTTCTTGTCTGGAGAATCCCATGGACAGAGGAGCCTGGCGGACTATAGTCCATGGGATCACAAAGAGTCAGACACGACTGAAGTGACTTAGCACGCACACAGGCAGGCTGGGGCCAAGGGGAGAATTGGGGCTACAGATACGGATTTGGGAATCATCATCATGTAGACAAGAAACCATAGGAATGGAGAGTCACTCTTTGGGGGTGTAATACAGTGAGACAAGATAAAGGCTGGAGGGGGGACCCTGGCTCCTCCTCGGGAGAGCTGGCTCAGACTGGGGACACCTCTTCCCACCTCGGTGCCCAGTGATGTCACGTGGATAGCCTGAAGTCAGCCATGGTGGGAATATTTACACACTAGAATTTGGAAAGCACTCCAAACCGGAGATGGTTTTTACCCCCGAGGACGGGTTGTCAGATATTTACCAACACAGCACCACTGTTTACACCAAGATTTAAAGGGAAAGAGAGAGAAGAGAATCCGCAGAGGCCTTGGGGACCGAGTAGTTGGAGAAGAGGAGGAGCCAGTTGAGAACAGTGTTGAGAGGACACGGAAAGAAAGTGCCAGAAAAGTGGATGCGGTGAGCAGGCGTAGGGACACGGGGACCGAGGAGACCAAGGCAGCCGGTGGGGAGGAGAAGAACGGAGGAGAAGGTGGACTTGAGGCATTAGCTGGGGGTTTCGGGGAAGGCCGGGGATGCTGGTGCAATCTCGGACATCAGTCTGGTCCAGCTCGGAGAGGCAGGAGCTGGATTCTGGATTCTGTTTTCCAGGCTGTTTGTCCATCCAAGGCCCAGAGTCCGTGCAGGGCCAGGAGCGGGAGTCGGTGAGTGTGCAGTGTCGCTACGACTCCGAATGGGAGAGCCATAAGAAGTGGTGGTGTCGGGGGGAGTGGTGGGCTTCATGCCGGATCCTCGTGCAAACCCAGGGATCGGGGCGAGAAGAGAAAGGAGACCGCGTGTCCATCAGGGACGACCAGAGAAACCACTCATTCACAGTGACCATGCAGGAGCTCAGGCAGGACGACGCAGACACTTACTGGTGCGGGATTGAGAGGCCTGGAACCGACCTGGGGACGCAAATTAAAGTGACTGTTGGTCCAAGTAAGAGCTTCCTTGTCTATGCTACGGGGCCCTGGTGCTCAGGACTGGAAGACTGATGTCCCCTCCCCACACCTCCGCGAGGGCAGGAGAGAAAGGTTGGGGTGTCTGAGAGCGAGCGTGAGCGAGAGCAAGGGACAGACGGATGGGGAGGAAGGGGGAGAGACCAAGGCAAAGCATCACTTCCCAGCCCGGCTGCCCACCGCATCCCCGAGGTCTCTCAGAGGCCCCTGTGGTGATGTGCTAGAGCATCACTCTAGGAAGTGGCCAACCTCCGGTCATCACACCCGGGACCTGTCATTACGCAGAGGGGCACAGAGGGACATCTGGGGTAACCCAGTGCATCCCAGCGCTGAACCCCAGAACCCCGGCCAACCCAGGGTGCTCTGGGGCCTCTGCTCTCTAGAGACCAGGTTGCTCACATAAATCATCTCCATAGATTCTCTTAATGAGATGTATATCTCCTTCATCACTGTCACTGTTCACTATTTCACCGGAAGGTGTCCTCTTATGCACCAGTGTTCCGGAATCCCCCTTGCTCATTTCCACCCCAGTAACTAGACGCCCTGTTTCCAGAACTGTCTGTTCTTGAGCTCTCTTTGCTCGGGCACTGTTTGAGCAGAAAGGACCAGGGATTCCCACCACCTTCAACCAAAAAGTTCCACTTGCAGTGTGATTTTTCTCTCTCCCCAGAATAAAATGCAGTGCTTGCTTTTATTTCATTTTCTTTTGAATTCTTTTTTAATGGGAATGTAAAATTTTTTTTTTCATCTTAAAAATTTATTTTTTGGATGTACAGTTGATTTGTGGAAGCGTTAGCTATTCAGGCATGCCTGACTCCAGGTTCCTCTGCCCATGGGATTCACCAGGCAAGAATATGGGAGTGGGTAGCCGTGCCCTCCTCCAGGGGATCTTCCCAACCCAGGGATAGAACTCCATAGTTGATTTACAATGCTGTGTTAATTTCCACTATACAGCAAAGGGATTCATATAGGGTTAGTCATATATTAGTATATATACATTCTTTTTCTTTTTTAAAATTGGAGGATAATTGCTTTATAATGTTGCATTGGTTTCTTCTGTGCAGTGAAGTAAATCAACCATATGCATACAAGTATCCCCTCCTTTCTGAACCTCCTTTCCATCACCCCCCATCCCAGCCCACTAGGTCATCACAGAGCACCCAGCTGAGCTCCCAGTGCTACCCAGCGGCTTCCCACTAGCTATCTGCTTTACACGTGGGGGATGGGCCGAACAGGGAGACTGGGATTGACATATTTAATTTTACTCCTTTTGGCCACACCTGGAAATGATGGCGGGGGGAAGATGACTGTGTACTGTGGTTCAGATGACTTGGCAGAAAGGGGAGAAACCAGAGGGACTGCAGCCAGAGAGGAAGCCCCCGGGCCAGGGGAAGGGGGTCTCCTGCGAGGGCTGAGCGCGGTGGGGCACTGCGAGGGGAGCATGCACCCCGGGTCTGTGCTGATGACCTGGGCCGACTTCACCTGTGTGTAGGGGAAGCTGTTCTGACCGTACTAGAAAGCCAGGACTCCAGGACGAGGACCACCAGCCCTCCAGCCGCGTCCTCCCGCCCCCACAGCAGGTGAGTAGCTGTGGTCCTTTCTCCTGCCCCGACCTGGGGCCTCTCCTGTGGGGCTGTCGATCCTCATGCAGTCAGTCACCTGACTCTGGAGCCCACCTCGGTCAGAGCCAAGGCCCCTTGCCCACCCTCCGTGCCCCTCCGCCCAGGCCCCTCCTCCTCACCCTCTGTCTTCCCGTTGGAGCCCCAGCCAGATGTCTGCTCTGCAGACCCCTCCTCTGTAAGCATCCCTGCTGGGGAGGAGTTCGCGGGTCCTCTGCCCAGTCAACAAAACAGCACGGATGACCTAGTGGATGCCGAGGGAGATACAAACCTCCAGGCTTCAGGGAGGGTGGTTTAGCAGCCTGGAGCTGGCAGCCGTGGGAGCTGTGAACACACAGAGCCAGCCTGCCGTGGGTGACCTGCAGGCGCGTCTCCTGGGCTGAGATGCACTCAGACAAAGGTGAAATTGGAGAGGGAAGTGGGCACGATATAGAGCAAAGCCGCAAAGCTGAGCCATTCCTAGGGCCCTCGGGACTGAGCCATTAAGCAGGTCCCTGGGAGTCTTCAGACAGGGCTGCCAAGCCCAGCATCACAGGCTTTGCTCCCCACAAGACTCCCCGGTGTCCGAGTTTGTGGGGGGTGGACATGGAGGGGCCCGGGGCTCTGACTGCTCTGCCCACCCCCTCCCAGGACCCACTACATGCTCCTGGTATTCCTGAAGGTGCCCTTCTTGCTCGGCCTGGTCGGCGCTGTGCTCTGGTTGGAGGAACATCGGAGGGACATTGCGGAGCCGCAGGGTCAGCCCATCTACGCGAACTTGTCCTCTGAGCTTCTGACCAGAGACACCCCCGTTTAGACGGATGGATGAGCGGAGACTTCCAACACCGCACCCCGTTTCCAGAGGAAACTCGGCTGTGGAATGAAACACCGCGGAGTCATAGCTGTCCCGCCCGGCTCAGGGCCCCCGCTCCTGATGTGTGGTCCCCACCTGGAGGGTCAGCATCCTGTTCCTGCTTCTCCAGGTCGCAAGTGCCCTTCCTGGACCCACACTTGGGGTTCAGGGCTCACAGTTGGGAGCTGCTGGGCTGGAGCCCTGGTTCAGACCATCGTGTCCCCACTGCTGGGAGAGCTTGGGAACAGAGCCGGGGACCGAAGTCCAGAGAGAAGCGTCAGGGGTGCAGTGGAGAGGGCGAGGGGCCTCCTTCCTGAGACTGGCTCAGCGCGCTCCCCTACTGGGCTTCCGACATGTGGGATTTTGTAGTTGTTTTCCTTAAACTGGGTTTTTAAAAAAATTAATTTATTTTTTAATTGAAGGATAATTGCTTTACAGAATTTTGTCGTTTTCTGTCAAACATCAACATGAATCTCAAGCTGGGTTTTGAAGGCTCGTGGCCGTCACTTGACTTGATGTACTCGTGGGTGCGCGTGCACACGCACACACACACACACACACACACACACGCACACATCCTAAGGACGGTCATTCTGGGGAGAGTGCTGGTTCTGGACTGTGACAGGTTGACGTCCCCTCTGCCCAGGGAGGACAACGCTCTGTGTCTAGGGGGCTGAGGGGGGGTCCTGGGGCTGGCCTTTCTCTTCCCCCTTCATCCTCCCCGCTCAGCTCTGCTCTGGCTCCCCAAGCTCCCTGCTCCCCACGTCTCGGGGGCTGGGCTCCCCGGGGGCTGAGACTTGGGAGCCCGCCCTTCACTTCCTCCCGGCAGCCGGACTGCAGGGTCTCCATGGGGCCGGGGGGCCTCAGAAAGTACGTCAAGGTCAGGGACGGTGATGTCAAAGCTGTCTGAGGGAAGGGGTGGTGTCTCTTTTAAATAGCATGTGCATCAGCTTAATTAAAGTTGTCTGAGGGAAATCTTGTTGCCTCTCTGAAGTGATGCCCTTTGGGGACTTCCCTGCTGGCTCAGTGGTTAGAACTGTGATCTTCCACTGCAGGGTCTGTGGGTTCGATTCCCAGTTGGGAAACTAGGATCCCACACGCTGTGTGGCTCAAAAGTTAAAAAAAAAAAAGCTATATTCTTTAAAACATTGTAATAACTTAAAACGTCTGAGGGAAATTCGCCTCTTTGAAGCACCTCACGTGCGTCAAGGACACCCTGGGACTCGGTCTCTCTCTGTCACTCGGGTCATAGTCCGCACACCAGCGGCAGCCTCACTTCACTGAGGAGAAACAGCTCCCTCTGAGATGTGCCTCCACACCTACACAGACAAGCCTTCAGATAGACACACCTTTGGAATGTTTCCCTCTGGTTGTTCCCCCAGCTTTACTGGGCTTCCCTGGGGGCTCAGTGGTAAAGAAACCGCCTGCCAACGCAGGAGACGCAGGTTCAGTCCCTGGGTCGGGAAGATTCCCCTGGAGAAGGAAATGGCAACCCACTCCGATATTCTTGCCTGGAGAATCCCATGGACAGAGGAGCCTGGTGGGCTACAGTCCACGGGGTCCCAAAGAGTCGGACACGACCAAGCGACTCAACAGCGACAAATAAGAGCTGTGTATATTTAAGGTGTAAATGTGATTTTTTAAAATGTGCATAATGTGATAATTTAATGTACATATACATTGTGAAATGAGAGCCCCAATCAAGTTAACAGTCACTTTACACACTTATTGTTTTAACCAGTTTTACTATTTTTTGTGCAGTGAGAACATGAGATCTACCCTCTTACAAGTCCCCAGCATATAGCAGTCTGATGAGTTGAAGTCCCCATACTCTTAGAGCCCAGATTTACTCATCTCAGACCTGGAAGTCTGTCCCCTTCGGTCAGCCTCTCCCATTCCTCCCCGCTGGGCCCCACCTAGCACCCTCCCACCTGCCCTGCCCCACTCCCCCACCAACCACATTCCACTCCCAAGTTCTATGCAGAGTATTTCCCTTTGAACACCTGTGAAGACCCATCCATCCTGCCCTTTGTCCTAATAGGTGGGCGCTGGTTCTCAGCCTGGAGAGGCCACCGGAAGATGCCTCACCTGGGGGGAAAGGAGAAGGGAATCTTCCCCGTCCCCAGTAAGGTGGCTGGGACCCCCCTCCGCCACCTCCCTGGGGTACTGTAATCCCCTCTCTTTGTCCTTTGGCCAATGAGAAACCTCCCACTTTACACTTGGTTTAGCGTTCTGGTCAGTGATGGGTCTGCACATTTTCAGAAAGGACAGAATTTGAGCCAGAGTTGGTGATGAACAGGGAGGCCTGGCTGCTGCCGTCCATGGGGTCGCAAAGAGCGGGACACTACCGAGAGACTGAACTGAACTGACTGAAGACTCTCCAAGTCACCCTGTTGGGAACCCGCAGTCTTCCAGCTCCCAAGTCCCCTCCTCTGTGGATAGCTCCTGGATCCAGCCTTCCAAAGATCCGGCCAGATAGCTTCAGGTGACCCAGCAGCTCTGCGCCGCAGGAGGCAAAGCCACAGTCCAGCTGCCTCGTCGGCTTGGGTGGCTGAGGGGCCATTGGCGGTCGCCAACCGCCAATCACCGGTGACAGTGATTTTCCCACCGTTCTTTGCAGCTGATATTCACTTAGCCCCTGATCTCTATGGAGAAACTGTGGGTGGGTTGTTACTCACACAATGTCATCAAAGAAAATCCACTGGAGTAGGCATCCCCTGTCTGTCCTGAACCCCATCTCTGCCACACACACACACTCACCCACTCATGCACACACACACACATAAAATCACACACACACTCATGCTTCTGGGAATTGCCTCTTGGGTTCCAACGAAAGTTGTCAGGCAACACTTGACTAATACGCCCACTCTCCAGGGCAGGGAGAGAGACAGAAATGAAATAGGTCAGCGCTACAGCTGAGATGGTATTTCCCAGCTAATGTGTTTCTAGCAGGAGCCTGGTAACCAAGCCCTCACGTCCTCCAATAGCTAGAGACTCAGGTGGTTCCTTGTGTGTGGTTTTAGCGAGTTCTGTAACCAAGAGCTGGCCGAGGTAGAGAGTGGATGCAGATTGCTATTTTAGGAGGAAAGCACTTCTCCTTCCCTATGAGCTCCTATTCACGGGCGTTTACTTCTGAGCATCTGTGCCACCACAGAGGAAGTTCACCCAGAGCAGAGAGAAGCGAGAAGCAACAGGAGCCCAAGCCAGGACTCCGGGAGCTTTCTTTTTGATGACGATGCTCCCTGAATGAGGTTTTCCTAATGAGTGCGTGCTAAGTCACTTCAGCCGTGTCTGACTCTGTGCGACCCTGCGGACTATAGCCCACCAGGCTCCTCTGTCCGTGGGATTCTCTAGGCAAGAATACTGGAGCAGGTAGCCATGCCTGTCTCCAGGGGATCTTCCTGACCCAGGGACGGAACTCGGGTATCCTGCATTGCAGGCAGCTTCTTTACCATCTGAGCCGCTAGGGAAGCCCTGTTTTCTTAATAAATGAGGTGAAAAGAGTAAGTTTTCAGCACTTCCCTCACCTATTCTCTGAAGCTTCGTTCTCCACAGCTGGCTTGCCCGCCTGGCTTTGTTCTACTTGCCCCAAACTTCCTAGATCCTCATGGCTGGCTTTGTTTCTGTCCTTATCTGTGGACCCTGCCTTCTGCGAAGCTGGGTGTCAAGTTTCCTCCCAGAAGGGGCATGCAGATGCACCTCTGGGGGCTTTCCTGAGTTCCCCCGACACTCACGCTGGGAGAGTTAGCAGGGAGGGGACCTGGAGCCTGGGTCCCTCTGGGCAGCCCTCTCCCATCCCCTTGCTGCTGCGCACTACCGTCCCCCCCGACTCCTCCTCTGCCAGTCATCTCTGTTTCTCCACAACATGTGGGCTCTTAGTTCCCGGACCAGAGATCGAACCTGCATACCCTTGCATTACAAGGCGATTCTTAACCACTGGACCACCAGGGAAGTCCCAAACTAATCTCGATAAAGGGAATGTGGGAAGGAAAAAAAAAATCTGACACTAATCACACCCTAGTCGTCAAACTACCCAGAAAGATGGGTAGAATCTTCGCTTTGAAGACTTTTGTTTAGGACATTGCCCTGATCACAAGGAGAAAAAGTGAGAATCTTAGAGGGGAAGGGCAGCTGGCCAGAGGCAGGCGGGGGCTGTGATGGGGAGTCGGGAGAACTGACACTTTCTGTAGTTTAAATACAACTCGGAGTTTTCTGCCACTGCTGCCTCTTTTAATACTTGAGATTAAGACACAGCTGGAGGAGGTGGGAGAAGAAAGTAGAGGAAAGAGAAACACCGAGGAGATCTGGGCTGGAGGTTTGGGAGCCGGGTAACCAGCATCCAGACCAATACGGCGGCCGTAGAACACGTGTGGCTGCCGAGCTCGTGACGCTGTGAATGGTCTGCCTGGAGGTGTGCTGAGAGTGTCAAATGCTCACTAGGTGTCGGAGACGTGCTATGGAAAAAAGAATTTAACATATCTCCAATATCACTGAAATGATAATATTTTGAGTGTATCGAGTCAGTTCAGGTCAGTTCAGTCGCTCAGTTGTGTCCGACTCTTTGCGACCCCATGAACCGCAGCACGCCAGGCCTCCCTGTCCATCACCAACTCCCAGAGTCCACCCAAACCCATGTCCATCGAGTCGGTGATGCCATCAAGCCATCTCATCCTCTGTCGCCCCTTCTCCCTGCCCCCAATCCCTCCCAGCATCAGGGTCTTTTCCAATGAGTCAGCTCTTTGCATCAGGTGGCCAAAGTATCGGAGCTTCAGCTTCAGCATCAGTCCTTCCAATGAACACTCAGGACTTATCTCCTTTAGGATGGACTTTTTGGATCTCCTTGCAGTCCAAGGGACTCTCAAGAGTATATCTCCAGTGTATCGAGTAATACTACTAAAATTAATTTCAACTTTTTTAGAGTGTTTTTAAGGTGGCCAATAGAAAAATTTTAATAGCACTGGGGTAAAATCCACATAAGATTGGAATTTGCTGCTGTTTTTATATCAAGACATGCAAGAGCTAGAAACGGAGTATTCTGAGGCTGCCCCCAGCTCTGCTTGGGGAAATGGAGAGGGCTGGGCTTCAGGATGGCGGGAAGAGGGGATGTGAGACTGGGGG